AAAAAAGAAATGGCAATTTTTCCGAAAACCGTAGGGAAAGCTAGGCCTGACATTAATAAATACGTAGTTTGCATTGAAATTAATAAATATAGAGTGGTAACGAAACGTATGAGAATAAGAATAAAATAAATTTTGACACACAAATAGCCATGCACCTGCAGAATTAACAGCGTCTTCTATCTTACAAGATGAACATTACCGCAAGTCATGGCTGAAAAGTGTTCTTGATTTTAACAAAAGCGTTTAGTGTTCACAATAAAGTTCTGAACGATTAGGAAAAGATTAGCATTTGTATGTTGCGAAACGTCGGGATGACCGTTCAAAAACCATGACAAACGCATTTTGCTTGTTGAATTTAACCATTTGGAACCAAGTAAATGTGCAGCGGAAGCAAGCTGCGATGAAATTCTTGTCCAGGCATATCTAGATCAAAATTTCACTCATAATGGGAAAGGTCTATTGTGATTACTTTCTTAACTATGTTTATCCTAACCCACCCTGACAACTTTCCCTGTGGGATGAAACCGGAGTTCCCAGAGAAAACCTACGACTTTCGGCAGAGCGTTGACAGACTCGGGGACGCCAGAACGATGTGAAGGCAAGGGGGGCAGATTTTCGTGAAAGGGCACTTTTGAATTGATATATACTAAGAGATGTTTCCAAAACATCGGGAGTTGAACTTCGCCTAATCATGTTTTCTATTTATTGGATGATAGGGGTGTGAGGGGGTTCTCCGCCATGCGCTTGCGCTATTCTTGAAGCTCGATGACTGCATTTCTTGCGTTTTCTGAAGCAAATTCGTAAAGGAATTGCACTAACATTTCTGACAATTCGCTATTTCGCCAAGGCAATCCTTTAAATTGAAAGGGCACCTTTGCCCCCCTTGCCCCTCCTGGTAAAGGGCAACGGGGGCGGCTGCCCCTCCTGCCCCCCAGTTCCGGCGTCCCTGGACAGACTCCTTTCACATGAGTCCATACAGCGAGTCTCGAACTCACAATCTCAGAGGTTTTCGGTGCTCGCTCTGACTGGGTGAGCCCAAGTAGCAAAGCGCCATGATGCACCCTACTAAACTCTTAGAGCCAGACAAAGGCAAACGGCAGGTTCGAACTTTCTTGGCAAAATTTTCGTTGAACGTTTTCGTTTCATATTTTCATTCTTGCGTCGAAAAAATAATTATGTATTTCAGTTTTAAAACAGCAAGTTCATTTACTCTTTATTGCCTGATACCGTAAAATTTTTCTTTGCCTGGCGTTTGCCGTTTGAGTATAACGCAAAGCTTAAACTCTCTAATAATTCATGAAGAAAACAAATAAGAAATCAAGGGCGTGCAGGAGTTTGTATATCTGATACAGAATCATGCTGTTTTACATAAACTTTAAGTTTAAGGTTACAGTACACCCTTTTTGGCGTTTTGTGGAAAATCGCTACTGCGCGCTCAAAATCAGTCCGATTTTCATCAAATTTTTACCAAACGTTAGCCAGTGCATGCAAAATATGATAAAGTTGTTGATAAACAATAAAATTATATAAGAATTTTTTTCTGTGTTGGTGCTGTGTACTCAGGTGAATAATATGTTTGCGATGTTACTCTGAGTGCATATCCACACCGGGCGAGCTTGAAAAATATGCCCGGCCACGGTGGGATTCGAACCTACGACCTTTGGAATTTTTACTAGCCCAATGGGCTAGTATTCCAAAGGTCGTAGGTTCGAATCCCACCGTGGCCGGGCATATTTTTCAAGCTCGCCCGGTGTGGATATGCACTCAGAGTAACATCGCAAACATAATATAAGAATTATTCAGGAAAATCTTAAGTCGCGGTACCTTTACGCTTTTGAGTTATGTTCCTGCTGGTTTTAAGATATATTTATGAAAATATCATTTTTATATAGTAAAATAGTTGTTCTAAAAAATTGTGTTCGGAAATTTTTGTTTATTTCGTCATTCCGCTGATATGGCGATTTCTTTGACGATTGCAATATATTTCTGAATCGTTTGTGTGAATTGCTCCTTATTATTAAAATATCCAAAATTAGAACAAAGCCGAACACAATTTTGAAACTGACGTCTTTAGCTGTGTCCTGTGAAAATTTGAGAAAAATGCGTTAAAATCCGCAGGAGAACAACTCGTTTAGAAATCAGTAATTGCCGTAAAATTCTTCGGGAAAAAATTGAATTTGAATATTACATTTTCAATGTAAGTTTTCTTATTGCAAGCGAAATGTATTTTATTATATAACTCTGCGAGTTTTCAACATTTTTCGTCCAAACTTGGTCAGATAGTAGAACTAGTCTAATGCTTTCATGGAAACCAATAGGTATTCTGTAACCTTAACATTTACTCATTAAATATCATTAATTTATTTTAAATGTTGAAGAAGACGAATGTTCTCATCGAGACGTTTCACAAGCTGTATAAAGCATTCGCACGCGTGTTGTATATCAGACATACAACCTCTCGTCTTCGGCTCGGGTTTGTATATCTGATACAACATGGCTGATCATGCCTTATCTATTACTTTATCTATTAAAGTGCGACTAACCCCAAATATAATTTTGGTATGTGTAATATTTGGGTCATTCTGAGAAGAAATGTAATGTATCTCTATAGTAAAAAATCCCATCTTGATCAACTTTTTCACTGTCAAAGTTCTAGATATGATGTCATTAAGTGAATTTTTGCTACAAAAAACAAAGGAAAACCAATTTGCAATTCACCTAATTACATCATATCCGGAAACTCGGACAGTGAGAAAGTTGTTGATCAAGATGGGGTTTTTTATTATAAAGATTTACTACATTTCTTCTTCCGATGACCCAAATACTACACAACCAAAAATCATATTGGTCGTACTTTAAATGAGGCACGAGCCATATGTGAAAATTGAAAAATATCAGGTATCCGGTCGGATAGCAAAAAGCTCTATCCAATGCCCCCCCCACCCCCACCCCCCTAAAACACGCAGACACAAACAAACACACATGCATGCAAACAGCGACAATCTTTAACATGAACAAAAAATTAAGCAGTTTTCAAACTTGATCAATCTTCATGCTTTGGTTTCCAAATGAAGATCAAAAGATTCTGCCGCTCTTCGTTCCTTCCAATTCACGAATACGGTGTGCAGTTCAGACACTAGCTGCTCCTCAACGCTGCCCAACTTTTTCTCAGACTTACATGCTGTAAGAGAAATTTGAAAAATTACTAAATCATATCAGAGGAGATTGATTCTAATAGATTACAGTAGGTTTCCCCATGCATGCAGGTACACCGGTTTCCTCCTGTAGTAACACTGGACCGATTAGGGGTGATCTTTACTTGAGCTCTAGGAAGAACAGTTTAGAACTGATAGAGCTATTCAGTATAAATGTTAGTTTAGTTTAGGTTTCTTCCTATAGTAACACTGGAACGATTAGGGGTGATCCTTACTGGAGCTCTAGGAAGAACAGTTAAGAACTGATAGAGCTATCCAGTATAAATGTTAGTTTAGTTTAGGTTTCCTCCTATAGTAACACTGGAACGATTAGGGATGATCCTTACTGGAGCTCTAGGAAGAACAGTTAAGAACTGATAGAGCTATCCAGTATAAATAATGTTAGTTTAGTTTAGGTTTCCTCCTATAGTAACACTGGAACGATTAGGGGTGATCCTTACTGGAGCTCTAGGAAGAAGAGTTAAGAACTGATAGAGCGATACTGTATAAATAATGTTAGCTTAGTTTAGGTTTCCTCCTATAGTAACACTGGAACGATTAGGGATGATCTTTACTGGACCTCTAGGCAGAACAGTTTAGAACTGATAGAGCTATCCTGTATAAATAATGTTAGCTTAGTTTAGGTTTCCTCCTATAGTAACACTGGAACGATTAGGGATGACCTTTACTGGAGCTCTAGGAAGAACAGTTTAGAACTGATAGAGTTATCCATAAATAAAGTTAGTTTACGTAGTTCAAGTTTCCTCTGGTGGTGACACTAAATTGATAAGAGATTATCCTTACTGGACCTTAATGGAGAACAGTTTAGAACTGATAAAGCTATCCAGTATAAATAAAGTTAGTTACGTTCAGGTTTCCTCCTGTAGTCACACTGAGTAAATAAGAGGTGATCCTTACTGGACCTTTATCAGTTTATGGAGAACAGTTTAGAACTGGTAAAGCTATCCATAAATAATGTTAGTTTAGTTCAGGTTTCCTCTTGTAGTAACACTGAATCAATAAGAGATGATTCCAACTGGACCTCTAGGAAGAACTGATTTCAGAGCAGTCCAGTTAGTTAAGATTTCCTCTTGTAGTAACACTTCACAAGTAAGAGGCACTCGCTGGATTTCTAGGGAGAACAGTTTAGAATAAATAGAACTGTCCAGTATAAATGTTAGTTTAGTTTAGGTTTCCTCCTGTAGTAACACTGGGTCAACAAGGGATGACTCTTACTGGACCTCTAGGAAGAACAGTTTAGAACTGATAGAGCTATATAAATAAAGTCAGTTTAGTTTAGGTTTCCTGCTGTAGTAATACTGGATCAATAAGAGATGGCCATTACTGGACCTTTATGGTGGGGGGGTTATAAGAACTGATAGAGCTATCAGTTTAGTTCAGCTTTCCTCCTGTAATAACACTGCATGGATCAATAAGAGATTATCCTTAATGGACCGCTAGGGAAAACATTTTAGAACTGATAGATCGAGCTATCCAGTATAAATAAAGTTAGTTACGATATATACACGAATGTCAATCTAACCTATCTTCTTTCCTCGGCGGACAAAATCCCAACAGAGGCCAGTGATGAACATAAGGCATGCTCCCACAGTTGAGAAGATCAGTATGAAACTAAACATCTTTCCATTTGGGTCAAAGATTCCAGATATTTGACTAGCAGATGTAGCTTCAGTCTAAATGAAAGCAAAGGAAGAATTTCTATTTAAAACCAACTTAAAAATTGGATAGCTCTATATTAATTCTAAATTCAGACTATTGTACTGGAGGGTTGATATATCTCTACAGTCAGTAAAGACTGATTTACATACAGCACACAAAGAACAAGATAGATCCAGACTATTCGCATGTAATGTAATAGAGTGTCGATATATCTATACAAAGACAGTCTTAAACTCACCGGATCAGAAATATTTTCATTGGCAATCGCATCGTACAGAATTCTGGCGTAATCGTGGTTGTATTTATCTCTCATACAATTCGCAAGTTCTTTGGATATCAAGTTAATTCCGATCGACCAATCCTTGGGTTTGAATACATTCACAATCACCAGATCATCTTTAGTCAAGTCTTCCTCATGAACCAACGCGTAGTAATAGTCCAATAAAATACCTCAACATGAATAAAACAAAAATATCAGTCCAATATCCATATTGACAACCAAGGTTGGAAAAAATATTTTACTTATTTCTGAGACAGCTAGAGAGTGATCAAGTATAATCAAGCGGATAATCATGTAAATCAACACTTGGACACTGCAACTGTGTAGCACTATGCTATCAGATTCTGAATGAACTTGCCATCTCAGTACCCAACAAACGCCTTTTCTGCGAAAAATATTATGTCAAGCACTTTGTAACAGGCTTTATCCTGGCAACGTTTCTGTCAATATAATCACATCATCTCGCCAGGGCGCGTTTCCTGGCTAGGCGAGATGAAGACGTCCCCGTACCGCCCAAGATCATTTACATAAGACCTAAATTAATCAAAAGATAAATGCTATACCGTCAACTTCACCATCAAGTACAGCATCCCATACTTCGTCTGATGTATTGTAGTCTATAAAGAGCAAGAAAATTCTAACTACAACTGTTGTACAATACTACCTACACTGGATCACCACGTTTCAGATATCATTTTCAGGTAGTTCAGACACAAACCACGACAGCTTATTGTAGAATACTACCTACACTGGACCACCACGTTTGAGTTATCTTTTTCAGGTAGTTCCGATACAAACCACGGCAGCTTATTGTAAATTACTACCTACACTGGACCACCACGTTTGTGATATCTTTTTCAAGTAGTTCAGACACAAACCACGGCAGCTTATTGTAAAATACTACCTACACTGGACCACCACGTTTAAGATATTTTTCAGGTAGTTCAGACAAACAAATGACAGCTGATTCCAGAGCTATTGTGGATCTTGTTCTATTATTTCTAAGATAACCATTTTTATCACTGAGTTATACTTACAAAATATGGCAGCTTGGTTTTGAATCGCAGTAATAGCTTCCACCGAATTCGCCAAAACACCAACCTATATAAATGTCAAACAGGCATTCAGAAATATTATAATCGCGGGATACGCAATCCCCAGGAACACTCGTGGCTGAGCAGAAGAGTTTCGACCACTTATAATAGTTTGAATGTACAATATACTATTTTATGGGGCCCAAAGCAATTCGACTCAATTCTTCACCGCTAAAGACAAATACTATATTAATATTCGCACAAGACTCATAAAATACCTTCGTTCGGGTGATGGTTTTGTGGACATCAAAGCTGTTCATGGTCAAAGCCGATGTTAAGGTGGCAGTGAATATTGAGCATATACAAATACCAATCATGATCCAACATATAGCGAACACTCTTCCTGGAAACGTACGCGGTGCGCGGTCACCATAACTACAGCAAATAACGGATATGTTGAAGTGTGACTACTGACTAACCCCAAATATGATTTTTCGTATGCATATATAACCATGCATATATAACCATGCATATATATAATAATGCATATATAACCATGTGAACGATTGTGTAACAAACGTATTTACGTATAGCCCAAGTTCTATATACCATATATAATCATATGTTTGTGACGTTGCTCTGAATGTGTCCACAACAGGCAAACTGAAAAGTTTGCTTGACCGTGGTGCTCAACACCAGAAACAAGTTAGAGTATATAATCATGTTGTTTGGACTGGGGGTAATTGGCTTATGCTAGTTGTTGGGGTGTTCCTGCCACTTTTGGTAATTAATGTAATCTCTTGTTTTGTTAACAAGTAATATGATTTTTGGTATGTGTCACATTTGGTTCATTCTAAGAAGAAATATAATATAACTTTATAGTAAAAAATCTCATCTTGATCAACTTTTTCACTGTCAAAGTTTCCGGATATGATGTCATTAGGTGAATTTTTGGTACAAAAAAAACAAAGGAAAACTAATTTGCAATTCACCTAATGACATCATATCTGGAAACATTGACAGTGAAAAAGTTGATCAAGATGGGATTTTTTATTATAAAGATATATTACATTTTTTCTTCTATAATGACCCAAATATTACACACACACAAAATCACATTTGGGGTTAGTCGCACTGGTTTCGAGTGAGCGTTAAGCTCCGTAGAAATGAGCAATATTGTCATGACAAGTTTTCCTTGACAAGTTTTATTTGTTCGTGCGTACGGCAAAACATTGTCAACATTTCCTTGCCAAGGAGCCTTGTTCCAAAGCTAGTCACACCAGTTTTTGGACAAGAAAAATTTGTTCGTGTGTACGGCCGCCAAGGAAAGCTTGACAAGTGTAAAAGAGATACTTCCATGGTTTTGGCAAACAAAAGGCGGAAATGACGCGGAGTTAAATGTTTACCAACATTATCCATACACCAAACTAAAAGTCAGCTATTATTTACTTACCCAACCGTTGTCATAGAAACGAAAGCCCACCAAAATCCTTCCCATGATCCTCTGAGAAACTTTCTTGGAAACTGTTCATCATTCCACCACATTTCCTGTAACGCAAATTTTCAATGCTTCGAGTTAGAGTTAGTCCCCGCGGACCTCTTGGGAGAACAGTTTAGAACTGATAGAGCTATCCAGTGTAAATAAGGTTACTTTCGTTTAGGTTTCCTTCTGTAGTAACACTGGATCAATAAGAGATGATCATTACTGGACCTCTAGGAAGAACAGTTCAGAACCAATAGAGCCGTCCAGTATAAATAAAGTTAGTTTAGTTTAGGTTTCCTTGTGTGGTAACACTGGATCAATAAGAGATGATCCTTACTGGATCTCTAGGGAGAACAGTTTATAGAACTAATAGAGCTATCCAGTATGCCTAAGTCAGTTTATAAAGTTAAGACTACTGGAGCATTACGTACTATAACCCAAATAATCATGCCAGATATCCAAGAGAACAACAACGCAGTAATCAAGACAGGCCATGCATCCCATAGAGTTGACATCAGGTTCTTCATTAAAGTTTTCCAACCTAGAAATGATACCAAAAATATGTTTGTTTTAATTTGTAATTTGATTGGCAATTACAAATTTGATAAATTGACCTAAAGCGCCAAAAACAGTATGCAATTTAATTCAGACGTTCTTGGCGGTTGACTATATATACACACGTAAAATGCACAAGTTGTTACGGGTCTACAAACAAGCTGTTACAAATCTGTTCACAAGTTGTCGACAAGTTGTGTTCGCATTGCTTGTTCCCAGTTGTTGTAACAAGTTTGGAACAAGCTGTTAACAACTTGTAACAAGCTTGATGGTATTATCAAACTTGTTACGGGGTTGTTGTATAACAGATCTGATACAGTCATGATATAACATATCACAAGATTGACGACACAAGGTTGTAACAATATTGCAAAATCTATCATGACTGTATCAGACTTGTTGGAACATCCTTACGAAACTCAGAGGTTCTTGGCGGTGGACTGCATCTCTCACATATTGTAACAAGTCTGTCAACAAGTTGTGTTCGCAGTGCTTGTCCCAAGTTGTCAACATGTTTGGAACAAGCTGTTAACAACTTGTAACAACCTTGTTGATATTATCAGACTTGTTACAAGGTTGTTCCAACAAGTCCGATACAGTCATGACAAAACAATATTGTTACAACCATGTGTCGTCAACCTTGTAACAATTTTCTTATACCATGACTGTATCAGACATGTTAGAACAACCTTGTAACAGTCTGATGCCATCAAGCTTGCTACAAGTTGTTAACAGCTTGATCCAAACTTGTTACAACTGGGAACAAGCAGTGCGAACACAACTTGTCGACAGCTTGTGAACAGATTTAACCTGTTTGCAGACCTGTAACAACTCGTGCGTTTTTACGCGTGTACATGAGCCTTGCTAAATAGAAATATAAGATATAGCCATACTCAACCTTCTTTCTTTTTCACGTAAGCACTGGAAGGATCTTTTATAACAGGCACGTATTTTTCGTGAGCGTGATAGTCAGCGGCACTCATTATGTAAGGTAGGCTTAGACCTGCATCCTCTGGCTCGGTTTCGTAAAAATCCGTGAAATTCACCGGTTTAGTTTCTTGGATTAACCAACATTCCCCACAGCAACGTCGCAGCAGAACCTTCGCGACTCCTATAAACAAAATGTTTAGCAGTGGTTAATTAACGAACAGAGCAATGGCTCAATTTAAACAGATGCGAATTGAGAGAGAGGGTGTCTCTATAACTTGAATGTCTGAGTTCTTATTACAATTGTTGTTATTACGTATGAGGCCCCGTTTACATAAGATCGGGACGAAGTCAAACCGGAATGGAAATTGTCAACATGTTTACATGAGACCGGTACGAAAATCACAAAATTTTCGATTTATTCCCCTTGCCAGACAATTTTCTTATTTGTTGGTTTTTTTTGGTTAAGTACCGAAATTTGGTATGAAAAATTGAGGTAAAAGTCCCTGGAAAGCAATTGCAACGTACTCGTCCGGGAAAATTTTTTCCCTAAAAAGTTGTCGACGGGGGCGGAGGTTGGTTGTTCTCCGAAAAATTTTTTTTTTCCGGAATAATTTTTGAAATAGGGTCCCTAAACAAAATTTGCCCCGGGCCCCCGTCAAGCTCTCGGCGGCCCTGTACATTTTTATCATAAGCGCTATTGAGCTAGGGAAACGGCACTATAAATGAATTATAATAATAATATATAGAAAACATGTTGTTTTCTAAAAGGCAAGTTTCCAAGACAACATATGCATACGTTCAGGTGGCTGAGTGATCAGACACGTTTGAAAACATCATATCGGTTGACCTGCGTCATATGTTTGCTTTGTGTAAGCTAAGATATCCTATAATGGTGCAAATCTTTTCAATTCCTTACCTAGTGATCTAAAAACTACTGAAAATTATACGGTTTCGCCTTATCTTTTACAATAAAACCCAAAGAATTCCTTCTCCCGAATTGAAACACAAAGTACAACATGTGGATGAATTTTTCTGCGCTATATATATGCAAACATGTCGTGCTTTATATCAATGCTTCGCTAACAGGTCATTTAAAACATGTACAGACATATCCAGTCATTAGCCTACCAGTAATGATCTGCATATGTTTGCTTTTTGTCGCGAAGTGTCCATTGGCATTGCTATAACACAAGGTCTGCTCAAACCGACTCGAGGCTCCCTTTAGTTAAAACCGACACCAGTGAAGCTAAAATATCCTATATAGTGGTGCAAATCTTTTCAATTCCTTACCTAGAGTCCTAGTGATCTAAAAACTATTGAAAATTGTTGATGAATTTTCCAGCGCTATATATGCAAACATGTTGTGCATGCTTTGTCATGAATGCTTCGGTGTAGGTAATAAAACATGTACAGTCATATATAGTTATAAGTAATATCTTTATGAAAGACAAAGGGAAGAATACCTTAGTGGTATACACGTAAATATTGTTTTTCCCCCTCTTTAGTCTTTAAATAAAGTATATTAACTAACTACCTAAAATTTTCTATATATATGCTCGTAATGATCGTATAAAAATAGAGTCACAATCTTTCTCAACATCCAGTTTTTTAAGAGTTTATATACCTGTAAACCACATATAAATCTATTAATGTATGTTTGTGTGATGTTACTCTGAGTGTATATCCACACCGGGCAGGCTTGAAAAATATGCCTGGCCACGGCGGGATTCGAACCTACGACCTTTGGAATACCAGCCCAATGCTCTTCCAACTGAGCTACGCGGTCAGGACGGTTCGAGTATGCGATATTTCGGAACTGAACAGCATTGGGCTGGTATTCCAAAGGTCGTAGGTTCGAATCCCGCCGTGGCCAGGCATATTTTTCAAGCCTGGCCGGTGTGGATATACACTCAGAGTAACATCACACAAACATCTTATTCACCTGAGTACATTACACCAACACAGCAGATTTCATGATTATTAGATTACACTGATATCGAAGGAACTAGATTCAGTTCCGAAATATCGCATACTCGAACCGTCCTGACCGCGTAGCTCAGTTGGAAGAGCATTGGGCTAGTATTCCAAAGCTCGTAGGTTCGAATCCCGCCGTGGCCAGGCATATTTTTCAAGCCTGCCCGGTGTGGATATACACTCAGAGTAACATCACACAAACATCTTATTCACCTGAGTACATTACACCAACACAGCAGATTTCATGACTATTAATGTATATTCTCTATAGTTTAATCACTCCGCGTATTTTCAGTTCTAAAGTGAGTTGTATTTCGGCTGATGAGAAAGATTGTGACTCAATCTTTATGACCGTACGATCATATTGAAACCATATGGCTTAAGTCTCAGGTAGAGGTAAAGCCTGATTCTCGTATAAGTCGCCGACGTCGGTGCGATGCCATTGTTTGAGATCAGTGAAGAAGAACATATAGACAAATGATTTTACTCATCAATGATCTACGACAATGGACATCGCCGACGTCGGCGACATATGAGAATCACGCTTAAGGGGCTGTTTATATGACCCAGTTTAGCCGGGATTCAAGTGTGACGTATTTTGAGCAATTGAAATAAGTAGCGCTTCATGATCTAACAAAATTGCTTAGTGTTACAAATTGTATGAAATTCCATGTTTTAGTCAATTTAGACAAAAAACAAATGTTGAATGAATGCTATTGGCGTCTTCTTCCACTACTGCGCGTTCCTAATTTCGTTTAAACAATATTTAAAGTTACAGAATTCTTAAAATCAAGGAAATTGCAAGCCATAAAAGAGTTAAAAGCCATTTTAAGACTGATTTCCACTGTTGCGTTTTTCATACGTACGTATATACGCACGTAAAACTTTAAATCCGTTTAAATGTTACTTATGAAACTGATAACCAAATAAATAAAGCAACAGAATTTAGTGTTCCGCAAGTTTTAGTGTGCATTTGTTAACTTACTTGTAAAATATTTAAAAAATAGAAGGATTCAGAGTTTTACGTGCGTGTACGTGCGTACGAAAAACGCAACAGTGGAAATCAGCCTTTAAAAGCCATTTAAGTTTAAAGCCATTTACTTATTTTCAAGCCATTTAAAGTTATCTAACTTTTGTTTATGGCTGAAAAAGTATTTCAATTGCTCAAAATACTTCACATTTCATTGAATCGCGGGCAAGATAGACCATATAAACAGCCCCTATAAGGATGATAGCGCGCACCTGCTAATTATTAATTATCCAAAGTATCCTTTCCTTGCGTAAGACGAGATATTATACATCTTTCGACAGACCTCGAAAAGTGTTTAAATTAATGATTCCCGGATCACAAATGCCTCTACTCACATAAAGCCAGTTTTTCACTTCAACCGCGGGTTCGGAATGCAGCATATATATAGCCGCGTTTTCTCGTGTGTCGAATGTCATTATAGTTCCACCCTATACATTGTTCGCGGGAACCGAAGCCAAAGGGGCACGCAACGTTTTGATAACGGTATTGTTGATGTGGAAAGACAAGCTTGAAAAATACAATTTGAAAAGTTACCTATCACAATTCCGTACTTCGTTGTGAGATCTCCCTCGTAATAATAAGCATAAGGAGCCATTTCAGACCAATGCATTTTAAGACAGCTGGCGGCTTCGTGACATTTCAGCTCAGAATTCGTACTTGTACAGTTCAGTGTGTCATTCGTCGTACAACATTGGCATACTCGAACAAGGCTGAAAATGAAAAGCAAATTTACAGCCTTTACACTTAAAAAACGCAAAGCCATTATGTTTGAGATAAACAATAGGTTTGCAAAGCTAGCTAGGAAATGCTAGTTTATATATTAGCCACTTTCAAACCACCTGTGTCACGATAAACGTCCCCATAGCAACGAAACTAAAAGGTTCACGTTGCTTATAATTTGAGAATTTGTTATTGTAATGAGTATTATTGCTTTTTTCGATAAAGCTGGAGTAATACGAGCAACAAAATTGCTGCAACTTGCAACAAAATCTGATTTCTACGCATGTTAATTGAAAATGTTTACAACTTTACATGCACATACATTACAAATCGCAAGGCAACATGTGTCAACATTTCTACTTAACATGCGTAGAAATCAGATCGTAGAAATCAGCAATTTTGTTGCCCGTGTTACTCCACCTTCAAGTGCTTAAATTTACTGGAAAATTAACATAATCATTAATTTTCAAGTGGGTTTTGAGAGTTCAAGAAGCTCAAAGTTGGCAAAATATTAACTTTTAGCAAAAATCATACGAAAATCATACTACTCGCTTAAATACCTTATCTTTTTGCGAACTTTCTGACGCAGTAACGGTCTAGTTCACATTTTTGTTAAAAATGAACTTGAATGTTTTGCAATTTTGTCAACCTAGGTCCTAGTATACTGTCTTTAATAGGCAATATTTCAAAATTTTCGTCTGCAAAGCTAAAATCAGAGAGTTGGCAACATCTTCTAATCTTCTCCATATATTAAATGCGGATACTCTAAGAAAATGCCTGTTGGCGGCAACTTGTAACAGAAAATGTCATCAAACAAATTTTGGTGTACATTTTCAGGCTTTGAGTTTCAATGAAAGTTGAGGAGTGTTGATTGGATATTACCTTTCATCAAAATTTTCTCACCCAGAATGTTGTTGAGATTTAGAGTCTCTGAACAGCCATTTCGTGCACTTTATTGGGGAAGACGATTTTACCGAATTCTGTTGGTCAGAAAAAGACGTATATTGGAATATCAAATTTTTAATAATAATCAAACTGGACTTGTTGCCCGACGGGAACATTAGCCATTTCCCAAAGTCCCGGGTCTAGTCGCGCAAATCCATGCATGTTGGAGGGACAAGAAATATGGCAGCACACATTTAAATTAAAAGTTTATTGTAAAAAGGAGATATTTCATTTTTGGTCGTCTAAAAAGTTGATATTTGATAGCAGATACTTCTACTCTTTCACATATTTGACGCCTGTCACCATATATTTTGTCACTCCAAACGATCCCAGAATGCACTGTGCTGTCTTTTGGGAAAAGGCTAATTGTATTTATCTAAAGCCACGTGACCACAAATCAGCCAATCACGTGTGGTGTATACATATAACAAAATTTATAATTTTCGCGTGTATATACGCACTCTGATACAAAGTTAAATAATACATATTGGCCTACTTGCCTTAATGTCCAACTGGGCGAAAATTAGTTCAATTACGCTTGAATTATTATTGCCCTTTCTTCCTTCAATAATCTAAATGAAACCCTGCACAACATTTATGTGTTAGCAAATTGGCAAAAAAAAAATTTTCAGCAGGGGTTATTTTGATGAAATTTTATCACTCACAAAAACCACCCAGGCACATAAAATAGCAGCCAATCACACAGCGAAGGAGTGCTGAGTACAGCCCGTACTTTTTAGCCTACAGACACAATTTTTGTCCATCTTGAAAGATGGAGTGTTAGGCCATATAAAATTCGATATAAAATTTGAAAACATTAAATGAAAACCAGCATAACTTATTGTCTTCCTTGTGCTTATCGTGCTTTTGAACAATTGAAACATAATTTGTGATAAATTATGTACTCCTTTCAAGAATTAATATCAACTATAGTTAAATATTAAAGAAAATCAATACTGCACAAAATCTAATTTGTCACTTGCACAAATCCAATTATATATCACTGCACAAATTGATTATCACTGCACCTTAAAATAATCCCTGATTTTCAGTAAGATTACAATCTAGCTTGTGATTCTGCGAGTATTTCGTACAGGTTTTTTAAATTCACAAGACTACTATTCTCAAACTTTGTACGTTTTATCTTTGTGACCAAGGCAAAATTCGATTCCTAAATTCCTGCAATATGTAGTTGACCGATTCCACAATTGAGAGGTTTTCAATTTGACTCAGAAAACATCGCAGGTTTCCTCCGGATTAACAAGGGATGGATGGCTTTTACTTGACCTCCACGAAGAAAAGCTTAGAAATGATAAATATATATGAGGATTCTGCGCACAACACTCGATTCCTCCTGTAGTAACACAGGATCAATAAGAGATGATCCTTGCTAGACCTCCAGGGAGAACAGTTTATAGAAATGAAGTTTATGTTTCCTCCTGTAGTAACACTGGATCAGTAAGAGATGATCCTTGCTAGACCTCTAGGGTTCTAGAACAGTTTATAGAAATGATAGAACTATTCAGTATAAATAAAGTTAGTTTAGTTTATGTTTCCTCCTGTAGTAACACAGGATCAGTAAGAGGTGATCCTTCCTAGGAAGATCAGTTTAGAACTGGTAGAGTTATCCAGTATGAATAAAGTTAGTTTAGTTTAGGTTTCCTCCTGTAGTAACAGTACACTGGATCAATAAGAGACGACTCTTACTGGACCTCTAGGAAGAACAGTTTAGAACTGATAGAGTTATCCAGTGTAAAATAAAGTTAGTTTAGCTTAGGTTTCGTCCTGTAGTAACACTGGATCAATAAAAGACGACTCTTACTGGATCTCTAGGAAGAACTGTTTAGAACTGATAGAGCTATCCAGTATTAATAAAGTTAGTTCAGTGTGGTTTAAGCATAGAAATAATAGATATCTATTATTTCTCTGAGTTTACGTAACAACCGGTAGGAAATTCGAAGCTAAAATCGGTATAAAATAAATTTCACGTTTTTATTTTTGAGCTGTCACTGGGCTCATTTGGAAATTGTAAATTTGCCTGCTCTAGGCTAACTATTGTCGAGTGTAGATCCCAGTTCCTTTTTCTTAGCTCCTCAACCGTGCTCTGGGCAATTCTGCGATATTTACTAAGCTGGTCTCTTGCGTTTAAAATTTCGCGCAAGAGTTGTGCATTTTGCGTGGATAATTTGTGAAGTTCGGATTTACAATCAAACTTCGCTTCGTTTTTTTCGTCTAAAAGTGCGCCAACTTGTCGTTCGGCTATTAACCGTCTTTTTTCGGCGTTTCCTTTCGCCATAATTTCGCGATTTAAGCGCTGTCTTAAATTAATATTTTGTCTCTTTAAATAATCAAGATTTCTTTGTAAGCTATGTATTCTCACGTGACTTGTGACGTATTTCCGACTTGATGTCACGTAATCAGTCTTGTGTGTTTCCACAAATTTCACGAAATTTTCCAAAGTACGTTCTTCATTTTCCGGAAATTTCACCGATAAATCTTTCCTAAATGGAAGAGTTACTTATGTTGGTTAAACTTTCTTTAAATTTAATTCGGTTTTCTCCTGTAGTAACACTGGAGCAATAACAGTCGATTCTAACTGGACCTCTATAGGGAGAACAGTTTAAAATTGAGATAGCTAGACGGTATAAATAAAGATAGTCAGTTAACATACCTTCTTGCTGGAAAGAAAATAAAACTAGGATACGAATCTACTGTGTATTCCCAGGGAAGATCGTTCAAATCTGCATTCAATCTAGTTCAAGTTACAAAGAAAAAACTACTTGAAACAGACATCTCAAACGTGGTGGTCCAGTGTAGGTAGTATTCTACAATAAGCTGTCGTGGTTTGTGTCTGAACTACCTGAAAAATATATCTCCAACGTGGTGGCCCAGTGTAGGTAATATTCTACAGTAAGGCTTTTCAGGTAGCTCAGACACAAACCATGCAAGGCAAATCAAACATATCAAATAGAGGTGAACTAACCTTGCAATTCTAATATGTTCAGAATGTTTATAATGATCAACCAGCGAGACAATGACATGTTTCACAGACTTACAAAATCCACACCATGGGGTGTAGTACATCAAAAAGACATCCTAAAAAGAAACAGATCCCGAAAAATGTAGTTAAATATTTTGCTTGTTCTGTTGTCCAAATTGAAACCCGTCAATTATTGTCAATTATTTCGTACCTTATTATTATCCAGAACCAGCTCAGTAAATGTCTTTGATACGACTTCTGCCAAACAACCAGTGTCCACGGAACACGACTGATTGGGGATTGAGGCGGAACGTAGTCTCCTTCTTAGGTTACCATGTGTAAAATTCATTACAAAATCAACTAGAAAATTATCAGCAAAGATTATGGAAAGAATATGGTTCAAAACAGTCTTTAAATATATTTCAATGCATATAAAATGTTGTACAGTGGTTTAGTCAATGCGTTTTTCACTCTGTGAATGTGACCGGTGTTCCATTCCAGCAATATTATAAGCACTTCTCTGATTATAATTTCGTCTAAGTCGCATCTGAGAAGAGTGTTTCCAGTTTGATTCTACCAAACAGCACAGGATCACTGGATGAAAAAGGCATGAACCTTATTAGAATTCTATACGAAGAACAGTTTAGAACTGTCCAAATCACCTGAAAGAGCTATCCACTATAAATACAGTTTGTTTAGACTTCCGGTTGTTTACCTATTGAAGCATTATTTAGCTGTGTTTCTTCTGAAAGAACATACTGAGCTTCGTTCTGAGAATATGATATATAACGTTAAGTATAATAAACTCATAAAATTAATATTTCAAACGTTGGGGGTTCAGTGCAGGTAGTATTCTATAAGATGCCGTGGTTTGTGTCTGAACTACCTGAAAAATATATCTCAAACGTGGTGGTCTAGTGTAGGTAGTATTCTACAATACGCTGTCGTGGTTTGTGTCTGAACTTCCTGAAAAAGATATCTCAAACGTGGTGGTCCAGTGCAGGTAGTATTCTACAATAAGCTGTCGTGGTTTGTGTTTGAACTACCTGAAAAATACATTTCAAACGTAGTGGTCCAGTGCAGGTAGTATTCTACAATAAGCTGTCGTGGTTTGTGTCTGAACTACCTGAAAAATATATTTCAAACGTAGTGGTCCAGTGTAGGTAGTATTCTACAATAAGCTGTCGTGGTTTGTGTTTGAACTACATGAAAAAGATATCTCGAACGTAGTGGTCCAGTGCAGGTAGTATTCTACAATAAGCTGCCGTGGTTTGTGTTTGAACTACCTGAAAAAGATATCTCGAACGTAGTGGTCCAGTGCAGGTAGTATTTTACAATAAGCTGCCGTGGTTTGTGTCTGAACTACCTGAAAAAGATATCTCGAACGTGGTGATCCAGTGCAGGTAGTATTCTACAATAAGCTGCCGCGGTTCGAGTCCGAACTGCGTAAAAAATATATCCCAAACATGGGGGTCGAAAGCTGAAACCACGGTAGATTATTGTAGAGAACTACCTACACTGGACCCCACGTTATTCAGGAAGCTCAAATACAAACAAGTATAGCTTATAGCATAATGAAATTGGATAAATAAAATAAAACATTAAGAACGGAAGCAACCATGCAACTCTTACTTGACTATCGACTAGTACCAAGGCAACTTGGGGTAGTGTATCATGTTCCACTCCAAATGACAAAGCATAATTCCAATATTTCCGAGAATCCATGTAATAGAAATTCACGGTTATGTTACTATAGCAACCTGCACCAGCAAATACCATAACCTTGCCAGGCTGCTCACACGTGCCGAACTCCGGGGGGTACAGATCATTCGCTAAATCTGGGGGTGACTCCCTCCCCAAACTTTCAATAGAACTGTTATCTCGTTTTGGCTTTTCAGTAACAGGAGTATTAAATATTTTCATTAAATTTCCAAGGAGATTGTTGAATACGCCATGGTTTTTCTCTGAGGGATTCGATTCAAGATCCTTGTTCAATTTTTCGACTTTTTTTGCGAGGATTTTTAAATGCTCCTCTCTGTTTAAAGCAGTTTTCACTGGTTCACCGACTGCACCTAGAGAATTAGTAAAATACATTTAGATGAGTAGTTAAGCAAAATACGACAACCGATTAACGTTGACCCCTATATGCCAAGACAGAAACTGACTTTGGTATTGGTGGCTCGGTGGGTAGTGGACATGATAATTTAATATAAATAAAGTTAGGTTAGTTGTTAGGTTTCCTCCTGTAGTAACACTGGAACAAAAAGAGATGATCCTTACTAGGCCTCTAGGAAGAACAGTTTAGAACTGATAAAGCTATCCAGTATAAATACATTTAGTTTAGTTTAGGTTTACTCCTGTAGTAACACTGGGCCAATAAGAGATGATCCTTGCTGGACCTCTAGGAAGAACAGTTTAGAACGGATAGAGTTATCCAGTATAAATAAAGTTAGTTTAGTTTAGGTTTCCTCCTGTAGTAACACTGGATCAATAAGAGATGATCCTTGCTGGACCTCTAGGAAGAACAGTTTAGAACGGATAGAGTTATCCAGTATAAATAAAGTTAGTTTAGTTTAGGTTTCCTCCTGTAGTAACACTGGATCAATAAGAGATGATCCTTGCTGGACCTCTAGGAAGAACAGTTTAGAACGGATAGAGTTATCCAGTATAAATAAAGTTAGTTTAGTTTAGGTTTCCTCCTGTAGTAACACTGGATCAATAAGAGATGATCCTTGCTGGACCTCTAGGAAGAACAGTTTAGAACGGATAGAGTTATCCAGTATAAATAAAGTTAGTTTAGTTTAGGTTTCCTCCTGTAGTAACACTGGACCAATAAGAGATGATCCTTACTGGATCTCTAGGAAGAAAGGTTTAAAACTGATAAAGCTATCCAGTATAAATAAAGTTAGTTTAGTTTAGGTTTCCTCCTGTAGTAACACTGGATCAATAAGAGATGATCCTTACTGGACCTCTAGGAAGAACAGTTTAGAACTGATAGAGTTATCCAGTATAAACAAAGTTAGTTTAGTTTACGTTTCCTCCTGTGGTAACACTGAATGAATAAGAGATGATCCTTACTGGACCTCTAGGGAGAACAGTTTAGAACTGACAGGGCTATCAAGTATAAATAAAATTAATATTCTTCACCCCTAAATCGTTCTCCTCAGCAAAATATTACCCTTTCAAAAAATTCACCTGTGCTTTTTCCTATGTTCAGCAAGCCAAGCAGTCTCTGGGTTTTGCGATCAAAACAACAAACACTCAAAGCGTTTTTTTCTTGGTACGAATTCTTACGTAAGCTCCGGCAACTGTTTCTTGGCAACGCGAAGCTTCGCAACACGGAGAACGTTCGTAGCGGAAACGAATTCCCAGCGCACGAACACGTTTCGTAACATTCACGGCAAACGTCGCAACTGTTTTGCATTCCGTGGTTATAGCTGAGTGGAAGTGACTGACAGGAAGTGACGTGAGCATTAGCATTAGCATTAGCATGGCAACCGTCTACTGGTGAAGTCGGAGACTCGTCAGATGAATCTTCGGTAGGTTTCAGACTTGGTTCGGGACCCGAACATGAGCAGTTGTGATAACTCATGGCAACTTGATGGTACTATAAATAAAGAAAAAATATTGGGACGATTTATACTATAGTAAAAGGGTGGGCTAATCATGTTGACTTACGTAGAATCAGGGGTTGAACATTTGCTTCTACTATACAACCGGAATAGTACATTTTGGAAATTTACTGTTCCGTGTGAAGGTCCAGTATTCTTTTATATCTCTGAGAGCCTGTTCACAGGCTAATGTCTCTGACAATGACCTCTGGACTGAAGATCAGCAAACAAACATAGCAAACACCTTATTTATACAACAAGAATCTATCAAATGCACGTGCAAAAACTCGACTACAAAATCAACAGTTGTAACAGTAAAATTATCCTCAATAACGGTGCCAGTGATATTATAAAATGATAACCACAATTCAGTTTTTCTACTATACAAACAGTATACTGACATCATGAAGTTTCTTATTCCGTCAGTCATTCCACTATAGTCTATATATGGAATAACGGAATCGCGTAAATTTCGACTCCTGATAATAGAAGATACTGAAGGGTTTTCGTACGTAGCATAGATCTATATATTACATACTGTGTACAAAAGTTTCTTGTCCATGCCCTTGGCATTCACTGGTACAAAAAGAATGAGTGACGGTTGGGTCTTTATCAATGCTCCGAACGTCTTCGATTCCATGATGTCTGGATCTAACTCTTTAACATACTACAAGGAAATAAAAAATAACGTTACACTGGATGGCTCTACCAGTTCTAAACTGTTCTCTCTAGAGGTCCAGTAAGGATCATCTCTTATTGATCCAGTGTTACTACAGGAGGAAACCTAAACTAAACTAAACTAACTTTATTTATACTGGATAGCTCTATCAGTTATAAACTGTTCTCTCTAGAGGTCCAGTAAAGATCATCTGTTATTGATCCAGTGTTACTACAGGAGGAAACACTTTTATTGGTCTAGTGTTATTGCACAGGAAACCTAAACTAAACTAACTTTATTTATACTGGATAGCTCTATTAGTTCTAAACTGTTCTCTCTAGAAGTCCAGTAAGGATCATCTCTTATTGATCCAGTGTTACTACAGGAGGAAACACTTTTATTGATCTAGTGTTACTACACAGGAAACCTAAACTAAACTAACTTTATTTACACTGGATAGCTCTATTAGTTCTAAACTGTTCTCTCTCGAAGTCCAGTAAGGATCATCTCTTATTGATCCAGTGTTACTATAGGAGGAAACCTAAACTAAACTAACTTTATTTATACTGGATAGCTCTATTAGTTCTAAAATGTTCTCTCTAGAAGTCCAGCTAGTAAGGATCATCTCTTACTGATCCAGTGTTACTACAGGAAGAAACCTAAACTAAACTAAACCTTTGTACAGTTACTGCCAGTACCTCAATTTTCTTCTTGTTAGCCCAATGTGTTAAAGAAGTCAAATTATACTTCAATCCGTTTGGATAAATCTACGTTGATATAAAATTACTGTAAGAAACATACTACATCAAATGCAATTTCCAATGCTGTAAATTGCTTACTTTACGTGGTTTCAAAGAATTTACTAAAATAATTTGTCCAAATTTCTTCAACCCAAGCAAGGCAGCAACAGAAGGCGTTGTTATCACACCAAATTGCAGACTGTTAACTAAAAAAGGTTTAAATTAAGATAGATTGAGTTAGGATATACCGATAAATAAATAAATTAAACAATAAAATAAACCAAAGGAATATGGTTATTTATGAATTGAAAAAATATATAAATATAAAGTTGAAAAAAAAAAGAATAATGATAAAAACCTGTGTTAATTGTGTGCAACGCTGCTCCAAAAAATTCGTTATAATTTTTATCTTCGTATTTTGTGCCATTAAAGAAAGCAAGCAAAGTGGGCTGCAATGAAATTGTTGGAACTTTTAGGAATGTTGCTTGGAGAATTCAACAAGAAAATTTGACAAAGTCTGATTTACATTATGGAATGAACAGGGGTGGAAAAAATAGGCGAGCACTGCTCGCAGGAAATGTTAAACAGCTGCAGAAAATTCGTTTGATTGAAGATTTGCTATTGAAAATTTGAAGGAAACCTTAACACCCATGTCCCACTATGGGCGCAACAACATATGGTTAATTGACAGACATTATTCCTTGAATTTAAAACCATGGTCAGCGAGAACACTATATGTTTATGCACATGCAGATTTAGCACAAAAATACTCCGCTGGTCAGCAGGAAATTTTTGTCTCCAGGTTGTGCTACCAGGAAAAAAATTCTTTTCCCTGCCCTGGTAATGAATGTCTCTTTAGACGTGAAGATAGGGTGCCAATCACTTTCCTTGCAATTCTGTGATGTACGTGACAGAATCAAAGGTTCATTTTGGCTGCCATTGAACGTTCTGTGTCAGATCATGGAGCACTATAAGCTTACTTTGCTTACTTTGCACTATAAGTACTATAAGCTTACTTTGCCTTGGTCTAAAAATTCTTCTAAAATAATTTTATTTGGAATGTATGTGAGCGGCCTGATTGACTGCTGTAGAAAATGCACCTGAAATAAGAATGAAACACATTGTGTAAACAACAACACAGGGAACAACTACAACAGCAATAGAGGGGACAACAACAATGACAACTACTGCCACCAACACAAATATATAACACCACCACCATGAACACCAGTATCAACCAAATTCCAATACCATAATCAAAACCATCATCACCACCATTGTCTCTGCTGACATCACAAACACAGCCACCATCACCACTACTACAATCACCACCATAGGTATCACCAGCACTACCACTACTACCATCACCACCAACATTGTTACCACTGCCACCACAATTACCATCACCACCACCATCACTATAGATACTACATCACCACCACCATTGTCATCACCACCACTGCCATCACATCTGGGATTACCATAACCACCAGCATTGTCACCACCACCATCATTATTACCATCACCATGACCATCATCACCACCACTATTGTCAACACCATCACCATTACCACCAGCATTGTCACCCACCATCACTATTACCATCACCAACATCACCACTACTATTGTCAACACCATCACCATTACCATCATTGTCACCCACCATCATTATTACCATAACCACCACCATTGTCAACACCATCACCATTACAATCATCACCAGCATTGTCACCCACCAGCACCACCATCACTATTACCATCACCACCATGACCATCATCACCACCACTATTGTCAACACCATCACCATTGCCATCACCACCAGCATTATCACCCACCAGCACCATCATCACTATTACCATCACCACCATGACCACTATTGTCAACACCATCACTATTACCATCACC